GGCTCTTCTAATTTATGATTTGTTTTTTGAAATTATTTTTGTTTAGTTTCTATTTTATCAAGAACAACATGCTTTATTTTGTTAGGTGATTTAGAGTTTTTTTTAATAGAAAATTTGAAGCAGAGAAAATGTAAAAATTGACCGATCAATTGTTGTCAATTAAGTTTTTTACTTTTTGACCGTCAAAATTCTGCATTTTTTAATATACAGACGAAAAAATTTTCTATAATAAATAAATTAATAATGAATAGTTTAACAATAAATAAATATAGTATGATCAAAGTCAAAAAATTTTTAGCACGTCCTGCTCCGAAAATACGAGAAAAATGACACTTTCATTTCCGAATAATTAATTAAATATTTAATTAAATATCCTGAATTATATATATGGCAACAATGAACTTAAATAATATTTCCATTCTTTTCAAAACTCAGAAATATTCTATGCTATAAATATTGAACTATTTGAACGATAGTAAATAATTATTTAAAGAATTTTCAGTTAGTCCGGATTCTACAATTTACTCTTTGTAATTGCATTTAAGTACGATAAATAAAAAAGTTCCACCTACACTCATATTTACGAATCAAGTTTGCTTAAAACTTTGATTTTTTTGTGATGTTTTATTTTTTGAAAAAGAACATCAATCTAGACAAATTGCCTTTTTAGAGGTAAATAAATACTGTCCCATGATCCAAAAGTCCTTAATATTCTTGACTTAGAAAATCAAAAAACCTTGTGTTTTGAATGTGTTTATATTTTCTCAATGAAAATACGCATTTTTATGATTATTAGTTATAAAAAAGTTTAGCAATAAAAATTTAAAAAGCCGAACGTTTGATTATAGTTTTTGTTTCTACGTTTTGTCTATCTCAATTCGTATTAATAATCTTGTAGTATTTGTCAATGTCTAAATGATTTCGAAGTTTACTAAAAATTTGAGATGGTTTATGATATAAGGTTTAATTTTTGAAAATGAACACCATTTTAAAAAAACTTGTCTTTTGAGAGGTAAATACTGTCCCATGATCCCAAAATCCTTAATGTTTCTTGGCTTCCAAAACCACAAAACCAGGCGTTTATATTTTATATGTATTTATATTTTATCAATCAATATAAGCTTTTTTATGTCTATTATTTACAGAAAATAAAATTTCACAAAGCCGAACGTTTTGATATTGTTGATCGATTTATAGTCTATCACAATTTTTAATTAATAATCTTGTTATTTCAGGACTTATCAATGCCTAAATGATTTCAAAGATTACTTAAAATTTTAGTTTGTTTATTACATAAAGTTATTTTTTGACGAAAAAACCCACTAATCTAAAAAAATTGTCTTTTTAAAGGTTTTCGAAGTTTACTTAAAATTTTGGTTTGTTTATGATGTAAGGTTTTCTTTTTAAGTACACCAATCTAAATTGCTGGTAAATATTGTAGTTAGTAATTGTCAATGCCTAAATTATTCCGAAGATTACTTAAAATTTTAGTTTGTTTATGATATAAACATTATTTTTTGAAATAAAAACACCAATTTAAAAAAATTGTCTTTTTAGCGGTAAAAATGTCCCACGATACCAAAATCCTTAATGTTTCTTGGCCTAGCAAACCCAAAACCTATTTTCTCAAAAAAAATTATGACTTATTTATAGAAAATTTTAGCAATAAAAATTTACAAAGCCGAACTTTTTGGTATATTTGACATTTCAACGTATTGTCGATCACAATTTGTAAGTAATAATCTTGTATAATCTTGTGATTTTAGTACTTTTCAATGCCGAAATGATTTCGAAGTTTACATAAAATTTTGGATTGTTTATGATATACACTTTATTTTTTGAAAATGAACACAAATCTATCTTATATAATATTATTTATATAATTTAGAAAATAAAGTTTAGAAAGCCAAACGTTTTCGAATAGTTGACAAATACATTTTTACGTTTTGTCAATTACAATTTGTAATTAATAATTATTTGATTTTAATACTTGTCAATGCGGAAATGATTTCGAAGTTTACTTAACTACTTAAAATTTCAGTTTGTTCATGATATAAGTTTTTTGTTTTTTTTAAAGAACACCAAAAATACTGTCCCATGATCCAAAATTCTTAATGTTTTTTGGATTAGAAAATCACAAGACTTAGCGTTTCTAATGTGTTTATATTTTACCAATAAAAATACGCTTTTTTATAACTATTATTTATAGAAAATTTTAGCAATATAAGTTTTAAAAAACAATTTGTAATTAATAATCTTACGGTTTTAGTACTTGTCAAAGCCTACATTATTTCCAAGATTACTTAAAATTTCGGTTTGTTTATGATATAAGGTTTACTTTTTGAAAAAGTTCACCAATCTAAATTGCCTTTTAGGTAGCTCGTAAATACTGTAGTTAGTAATTGTCAATGATTATTTAAAATTTTAATTTGTTTATGATACAAACTTTATTTTTTGAAAAAAAAAACACCAATTTAAAAAGATTGTCTTTAGCGGTAAATACTGTCCCATCATCCAAAAGTCTTCAATGTTTTTAACTTAGAAAACCACAAGACCTGGCGTTTCGAATGTATTTATATTTTATCAATAAAAATACGCTTTTGATGACGATTATTTATAGAAAAATTTAGCAATAAAAGTTTTAAAAACAATTTGTAATTAATAATCTTGTGATATCAGTACTGGTTAATGCCGAAATGTTTTCAGCGTTTACTTAAAATTTTAGTTTGTTCAAGATATAAATTTTATTTTTTGAAGAAGAACACCAAAAATACTGTTGCATGATCTCTTAATGTTTTTTGGCTTAGAAAATCACAAGACTTAGCATTTCGAATGTGTTTATATTTTATCAATAAAATATCAATACGCTTTTTTATAACTATTATTTATAGAAAATTTTAGCAATAAAAGTTTAAAAAACAATTTGTAATTAATAATCTTATGATTTTAGTACTTGTCAATGCCTTCATTATTTCCAAGATTACTTAAAATTTCAGTTTGTTCATAATATAAAGATTATTTTTTGAAAATGAACACCAATCCAAAAAAAAATGTCATTTTAACGGTAAATACTGTCCAATTTCGAATGTGTTTATATTGTATCAATAAAAACACACTTTTTTATGACTAGTATTTATAGAAAATGTTAGCATATTAAGTTTTTAAAGCCAAACGTTTTCGTATAGTTGACAAATATATTTTTACGTATCACAATTTGTAATTAATGATCTTGTTATTTTAGTACCTGTGTTCAGAAATGATTTCAAAGTTTACTTAAAATTTTAGTTTGTTCATGATATAAGGTTTATTTTTTGAAAAAGAACACCAAAAATACTGTTGCATGAGCCAAAATCCTTAATGTTTCTTGGCCTAGAAAACCAAAAAACCTAGCATAATGTGTTTATATTTTATCAATAAAAATACGCTCTTGTATGACTATTATTTATAGAAAAATTTACCAATATAAGTTTTAAAATCAATTCTTAATTAATAATCTTATGATTTCAGTATTTGTCAATGCCGAAATGATTTCGAAGTTTACTTAAAATTTTGGGTTGTTTATGATATAAACTTTATTTTTTGAAAATGAACACCAATCCAAAAAAAAGTCTTTTTAACTGTAAATACTGTCCAATTTCGAATATGTTTATATTGTATCAATAGAAATACACTTTTTTATGATTATTATTTATACAAAATTTTAGAATATAAAGTTCTGAAAGCCAAACGTTTCCAATACATACACAGTTTTACGTTTTCCGCATCACAATTTGTAATTAATGGTCTTGTGATTTTAGTACTTGCCAATGTCTAAATGATTTCCAAGTTTCCTTAAAATTTTAGTTTGTTCATGATAGAAGGTTTATTTTTTGAAAAAGTACACCAAAAATACTGTTGCATAATCCAAAATCCTTAATGTTTTTGGCGTTAGAAAACCAAAGACCTGGCGTTTCAAACGCGTTTATATTTTACCAATAAAAATACGCATTTTTATGTCTATTATTTATAGAAAATTTTAGCAATAAAAATTTACAAAGCCGAACGTTTTGATATAGTTGACATATCGATTTATTGTCTATCACAATTTGTAATTAATAATCTTGCGATTTCAGTACTTGTCAATGCCTAAATTATTTCAAAGATTACTTAAAATGTTAGGTTGTTTATTAGATAAAGTTATTTTTTGAAGAAAAAAAAACTACCAATCTAAAAAAAATTGTCTTTTTAGAGGTAAATACTGTCCCATGATCCAAAAGTCCTTAATGTTTTTTTTGGCTCAGAAACCCACAAAAACCTGGCGTTTCGAATGTATTAAATTTTATCAATAAAAATACGCTTTGGTATGATTATTAATTATAGAACATTTTAGCAATAAAAGTTTAAAAAGCCAAACATTTTGGTATAATTGACATTTCTACGTTTTGTCTATCACGATTTGTAATTAGTAATCTTGTTATTTTATTACTTGTCAAATATTCTCCCTATATCAGTACTTACATGGGTCCTTTGTGTTTTTCGGGATAGAAAGTCCTTCTTTATAGAAAAAAAAATATTTCCTACACGCAGTTAGTAGTTTTCAATGATCCACATTTCAAGCTTATAGCTCATCATCAGTTGTAAATTCCTTCAACCTGAAGATAAGCTTGAAATCGTGATCGTTGAAAACAAGTAACTGTGAGGAAGAACTATCTTTTTATAAAGATCACACCGCCATTTATCATTTCTAACACACTTTATTTATTATATTTTTATTGTTTTTTAGAAAATTTGAAGTAGGGAAAGAGTAAAAAATTATAGCCCAGGTTAATCAATTGAAAAATCTTCTTTTCGACTAATATATAGTATGTCCACTTAAGCTGAACTTTGTCAGGATGATTGTGAAGTTGCTCAAGAAAACTGTATGTGGACTTGAAAGATTTTATCAAAAAAATTAAGAAAATTTAGGATTTTCTAGCCTTAGTCAATCGGAGCCGTGATTTGATTTTAAGAGAAGAGTTTACCTTACGACAAATCGACGACGGCAGGTTTCTGCGATGGCGACATTAGGGGAAAAAACTGACACTAGCTTTGTCTTTTCACTTATTCGTAAGATCTAACTTAGCGAGTTAAGCCGGAAGGTAGTCGAATATTGAAATGCGACTTGCGGAGGGCGGATGGGTCAAAGACCGGCTTTTTCTCGTCAACGGACCCAAACGTCGATCCCATGCCTTCCGTGAGGGTTGGACGCGTTCGGAAGACTCGCCCGGAGTGAGAAAAGGGCGGCCGGCTACCCCTACCCGCGGCCCCTGCTAATACGTCTAATCCAGTAATCCTTTGGGGACTTACCGTGGCTTTAGCAGAGCCGCCTTGTTCTCTTCTGTTCTTCTGACGAGGATGACGCCTGGTGTAACGGCTGGCTCAGACTGGATTTCCCCGCCACCCCTCTCTGCTCCACCCCCAACGGCGAAGAAGGGGGCTGCTGGGCGTGGCCCTCCCACCCCCGCACAGGCAACACACCCCCACCCGCCATATTCATAACATACACAGAATGCTTACCAGCCCCCACCACTGCGTTCCCAATCAAAAACTCTTAATTTTCATAAATAGTAAACATAGTCGATGGCCTTTCTATGTAAAGGCTTGCTATGTTGCATGACTAATCTACATATTTATCTCGACGGGAGATTGATCGCAATTAATCATGGACCGCCTATCCACGCCTTTTGGCTCTCCCTTAAAGGCACGCCATCTTCAGCAACATTCTATTTACAGATTTTTTGAAAACCTCTGGAAATAAGAATATTAAAGTCGGTTAAAAATGACACAGAAATATAATTATTTATCAGTTCATTCATATACAAAAATGGAATAAAAAAAGTTATTGCTTCCGTTTTTGAGCGTAATACTTTTAATACTTAAAAAAGGAAGATTCCGGTCTACAGCTTGTCATCTTCAGTAACATTCTTTTCAGGAATATTGAATCAGTTTAAAAATGGACCTAGAAAAATGTTTATGCATCATTAATAGAAATGATAAATGATGGAGTGAGTGTGATGTTCAATCCTTTTTAAAAAGATAGTTCCTACTCACAGTTGTTTTGCAACGATCCGAATTTCGAGCCTTTTAGCTCATCATCAGGTTGAAGGACTTCTACAACCACGTCTCTCGACATGAATTGCCAAAGTGAACCCGCTGATACCTCCGCCAACGGACGCCAACAATTAATTTAAATATTAATATGTTGAATCTTATAAAACGAGCGCATAAATGAAAATGCAGTTTGGTTGAGTCGATAAAATNATCAGCGGGTTCACATTGGCAATTCATGTCGAGAGACGTGGTCGTAGAAGTCCTTCAACCTGATGATGAGGTAAAAGGCTCGAAATCCGGATCGTTGCAAAACAACTTACTGTGAGTAGGAACTATCTTTTTAAAAAGGATTGGTTATGCATCATTTCTCTCATATATGATCATTTATAAAATGTGAAACGCAATAAAAAATATTATTGCTTCCATTTCGATCTCAGTACGTTTAATAAATTTCTGAAAGAAGGAAAATTCCGGTCTCCAGTTGTCATCTTCAGTAACATTCTTTTCAGGTATATTGATACAGTTTAAAAATGGACCTAGAAAAATGGTTATGCATCATTTCTCTCATATAAAAAATGGAAAGGAATAAAGATTGCGTCTGATTTTGAGCGCAGTAACTTCGACACGCCATCATCAGCAATATTCTATTTACAGGTTATTGGAGGATGTGCCTTCAAGAAACCTCTGAAAGAAGGAACCGGTCTCCAGCCAGTCATCTTCAGTATCATTCTTTTCAGGATGATTTAAAAATCCAGTTTAAAAATGGACCTAGAAAAATGGTTAATGCATAATTTCTCTCATATAAAAAATGGAAAGAGTTAAAAATTGCATCTGCTTTTGAGCGCAGTAACATTGATAAACTGGCTTAAAAGCACGCCATCTTCAGCAACATTCTATTTACAGATTTTCGGAAGATGTGCCTTCATTAAACCTCTGAATAAAGGAACCGGTTTGCAGCCCGTCATCTTCAGTATCATTCTTTTCAAGTGATTTAAAAATCCAGTTCAAAAATGGACCTAGAAAAATAGTTATGCATCATTTCTGTCATATATAATCATATATAAAATGTAAAATGTAATAAAAAATATTATTGCTTCCATTTCGATCTCAGTACCTTTAATAAATTTCTGAAAGAAGGAAGATTCCGGTCTCCAGCTCGTCATCTTCAGTAACATTCTATTCAGGAATATGGAATCAGTTTAAAAATGGACCTTGAAAAATGATTATGCATCATTTCTCTCATTTCAAAAAATGGAATAAAAGAATTGCAGGTTCTGTTTTTGAGTCGGTTAAAAATGACATAGAAATATAGTTATTTATCAGTTCGTTTATATACAAAAATGAAAAAAAAAAAAAATTATTGCTTCCGTTTATGAGCATAGTACCTGTAACAAACCTCTGAAAGTAGGAAAATTCCGGTCTCCAGCTCGTCATCTTCAGGAACATCTTTTCAGGAATATTTGGTCAATTTAAAAAAGGACATAGAAAAATAGTTATCTATCCGTTAGTTTATATACAAAAATGGAATAAAAAAGGTATTGTTTCCGTTTTTGAGCAAAGTACCTTTAATAAACCTCTGAAAGAAAGAAGATTCCGGTCTCCAGCTCGTCATCTTCAGGAACATTCTATTCAAGAAATATGGAATCAGTTTAAATGGACCTAGAAAAATGATTATGTTTCATTTCTCTCACATAGAAATGGATTAAAAAATATTATTGCTTCTGTTTTTAAGCATGATACCTTTTATAAGCTTTTCTGTGGAAGAAGGAATTAAGCCCGCCATCTTCAGTAAAATTCTGTTTAACACTATTGAGGCGGTTAAAAAATGCAATAGAAAAATGTTTATCAGTTCGTTCATAAAAATGGAATAAAAAAACTATTGCTTCTGTTTTTGAACGAGTACTTTAATTAACTTTGGGAAGAAGGAACAGTCCGAACTTATGCTCGTCATCTTCAGTAAAATTCTTGTCGGGTATATTGATACAGTTTAAAAATGGACGCAGAAAAATGCTTATGCATCATTTCTTTCATATAAAAAAATGGAATCAAAGAATTTTTGTTTTTGTTTTTGAGGGCAATACCTTTGATAAGCTCTTCTCTATAAGAAGGAATATTCCGGAGCTTAAGCCCGCCATCTTCAGTAAAATTCTGTTTAAGACGGTTGAGTCGGTTAAAAAAGGACATAGAAATATGGATATCTATCACTTAGTTTATATACAAAAATGGGATAAAAAAAATGATTGATTCTGTTTTTGAACGTAGAACCTTTAATAACATCCGGAAAAAGGAACAGTCCCCTCTTAAGCTCGTCATCATCAGTAACATTCTATGAACTGATTTTTGGAAGTAGGAATATTCCGGGCTCGTCATTTTCAGTATTTTTTTTTTTTTCAGAAATATTGAATCAGTTTAAAAATGGACCTAGAAAAATGTTTATGTCACAGTTCTCTCATATAAAAAAATTGAAACAAATAAACATTGCTTCTGTTTTTGAGAGCAATACTTTTCGTAAGCCTCTGAAAAAAGAAGATTCCGGTCTCAAGCTCGTCATCTTCAGTAAAATTCGTTTCAGGAATATTTAATCAGTTTAAAAATGGACCTAGAAAAATGGTTATGTGACAGTTCTCTCAGATAAAAAATGGAAACGAATAAAGATTGTTGTTTTTGACCGCAATACCTACGATAAACTCTTTTCTGTAAGAAGGACTGAATATTCCAGGGCTTAAGCCCGCCATCTTCAGTAAAATTCTGTTTAAGACTATTAAGTTGGTTAAATAGGTACATAGAAAAATGGTTATATATCAGTTCGTTTATATACAAAAATGGTTTTAAAAAAATATTGCTTTATTTTTTGTGTGTGTTTTTGAGCGTACAGTCCGTGCTTTAAGCTCGTCATTTTAAGTATCAATCTCCTTAAGACTATTGAGTCTATTTGAAAATAGTCCAGAAAAATTATTAAACATCGTTTTTCTCACATAACAATAGGAAAGTGAAAGAGATGTTTATCTTTTTTTGACGCAGTACCTTTGGGAAAGCTCTGTAATAAGGAATTCCGGGCTTAAGCTCGTCAACTTGACTATATTCTGTTTATGATTATCGAGTCAGTTAAGAAGGGATTTTTTTTAGCGCACTACCTTTTAAAAGTATGAAAGTTCCGGGCCTATGCTTCTTCAGTTTTAGTTAAATTCCTAAGCCGTCTTCAGTAATATTTTGTTTAGTACTATTGAGCCAGTTTGCCCCATATTGACAAAGAAAAGAAAAAGAACGTGTTTCTTGTCTTTTGGGCGCAGGACCTTTGGAAAACTTCTGGCACAGAGATGTTCATGGCTTTAGCTGTAAGAAAAATGTGTGGTGGAGTTGCTGGAATTATTAAAAATTTAGAGGAATTGTAATAATAATGTTTGTTTATTATTGAAAATTGTATCAATTAAAAATGCAATATAGGGCAGTTGTTAGGAATTGTTCAGCGGACTTCTCACTTAATTGATGGCATTAGAAAGGGTTGTCACTGCTGGAGTGAGTCGCAAGCCCAAAGGTATTGTTTTACGCTTAATAATTAATTCAGTTAATTTAAATGGGATTTGTGGAAGCAACACCTTTGGGAAAACCTCGTAGGAACACTCTAGAACTCAAAACATTTAATTCACGACAACTAAGTCTGATTAACGTTTTCCCTGGAAGAAGTATCGTTGATCTTTTATAAAAAATAAAAACAGGGAGAGTTAACAGTAGTTTCTCTTTTTGGCACAGTACCTTTGGGAAAAAAAACCTCTGGAAGTTACCCATTCAGGGCTGGAGATCGCACGTAGCTCAGCAACATTTAAGGGTTTTTTTGGGCCCAGTACCTTCGGAAAACCCTTAAAACAAGAAAAATCCAGGTCTTAAGCTCGCCATCTTTTAATACAATTGAGTAAGATCAAAGCGCGCCAATTACTTCTCTTTTATAAAAATGTAACTTTTTTTTAAAGCGTAGTACATTTAGAAAACCTTTGAAAAGATTACACTTTTTTTTTCGAAAGTTACATATTCCGGGCTTAAAATCGCAAGGTAGCGCGATGAGCTACATCCCAGTTAATGTTCTTTGGAAGAAGGAAAATTCGGGGTTTAACCTCGCCATCTTCATTTATTTATTTTACAGGCAAAACATATTAAAATTATACGATAGTTACAAATATACTTAGGAGAGC